ACGGGCTGCCGAAGTGAGCACCGCTTTTTCCTTCTTGATGGGTAGAGCAGGAATCGGTATTTTCTGTAGTGCCAATGGAAACCTCCTGGAGGCCACTTGTCCCCAAGCACCTCACAGAAGCTAATGTCCATCTGGCCTCACAAGTGTAATCCCTATCTCATTGCTTTTCATTTCTCTTTGTATTTCTGGAATTCATTTATTTTTGAAATTTTTGTGTGGTTTTACAGGAAATAAAATTTTTATTATCAGTTATTTAAGACTCCTTTGATTTCCTTTATCCTTCTCTCCTGACTTTATAGAAGACTGCTGGGCAGTGGTGGCACATGCCTTTAATCCCAGCACTTGAGAGCAGGCAGCTCTCAGTGAGTTCAAGGCTGCTCTACAGAGCGAATTCCAGGACAGGCTCCAAAGCTACACAGAGGAAACCACAAAACAAAACAAAAAAACCGAGTGTGGTGGTGCACACCTGTCATCTAATGACTTGGGAGGTGGAGGCAGGAGTTGTGTTATCCACAGCTACATAGTGAGTTGAAGCCAGCCTGGGTTTTCTGAGGCCATGTCTGAATAAAAACAAAATATTTTTAAATGATTTAATAAGACGCATGTGAGAGTCAGGCAGTGGTGGCGCTCACTTTTAATCCCAGCACTCAGGAGGCAGAGGCAGGCGGATCTCTGTGAGTTCGAGGCCAGCCTGGTCTACAGAGTGAGTTCCAGGACAGCCAGGTCTATAGAGAAACCCTGTCTTGAAAAAAAAAAAAGCAAAAAAACAAAAGTCCATGTGAGAAAACATGAATTGCAGAGTAGTTGATGCTGAATTACCAACTTTTCATTTCATGATGGAACAGAGAGGCTGTTGATTCTTTGGGTGCTGTAGGAAGATAAGGTACCTGATGGATGAAGGCAAGACACTTTGTCAGGCCTCACTAGTCAGGATTTGGGGACGATCACTTTCACAGGATAGATAGGTGTGGGATGTACCTATAATTTATGCGCTAAATGCTACCTGCTTTCTACATAAGATTCTGGGCCATTTTGTATTTTCCTGTATTTGAAAGAGTGGTGTGGAGTACTTGCTTAGTATGTGCACATGTGCAAGAGCCTAGGGTTTTGCTTTCTTTTGATTAATTTTTAAATTGGGTTCATTTATTTTATGGGTGAATAGCCTGAATGTATATATGTGCTGTGTAACACCTATGTTCTTGGTGCTCTCTGAGGTCAGAGTCCCTGATACTGGAGTTATGGATGGTTGAGAGCCACCATGAGTGCGGGAATTGAACTCAGTTCCTCTGTAAGAGCAGCACATGCTCTTAACTGCTGATCCATCTCTCTCTAGCCCTAAGGGCCTAAGTTTGATCTGCAGGGCCCCCTTCCCTCATCACCACCATCACCAACCAAAACCCACAAATGAAAATGTTCTTCAGAGAGAGCACTATTTTCTAGCTGGCATTGGCCTGAGTTCGGGGCTTGACTTTTGTTTTTCTATTGCTAGATAAAACACCATGACCAAGGCAACTTGTAAAAGGAAGTGTTTAATTTGGCTTATTGATTCAAAGGGTCAGAGTTCATAGTTGTGGACCAAATAGCAGAGAGCATACATGTAGACCCACACCAGAGGCAGAGAGGGAGCACCGGGAATCACAGGAGTCTCGAAATGGCCAAGCCTGCCCCAGTGGCACACTTCCACTAACAAGCCACACCTGGTTCTTCCCAAACAGTTCCACCAACTGGGGACCAATTATATGAGCCTATGGGGGCCATTCTCATTCCAGTTACTACAGCATCTCAACCACTGTAACCCAAGTCTAAAACTCCAGAGTTTGGGGGCTGAAGAGATAGTTCAGTTGGCTAAGAACTCTTGTTCTGGTTGTCTGAGGTGGAGCACCCAGGAGGCTGAGGCAAAAAAATAAATATATGAAAGCAAAACCCCTCTTGCTGCTCTTGCAGAGGACCTTGAATTTTATCAAGGTGGGCTGCAGAGATGAGTGCATACTGTTCTTGTCTACATCAGGCAGCAGTTCACAGTAACCCAGTCCAGCTCCTAGGGCATTCAATTCCTCTGGCCTTAGGCCCCGACACTCATGTAGTCAGACTTTCTTTGGACAGCCAGTTCCCCAGTAATGATACAGAGACTTTTTTTTTTTTTTTTTTTGGTTTTTCGAGACAGGGTTTCTCTGTAGCTTTAGAGCCTGTCCTGGACTAGCTCTGTAGACCAGGCTGGCCTTGAACTCACAGAGATCCACCTGCCTCTGCCTCCCGAGTGCTGGGATTAAAGGCGTGTGCCATCACCGCCCGGCGAGACTTCTTATTAAGTATGAATGCTTGGCCTTAGCTTAGGCCTGTTCACAACTAACTCTTATAACTTGAATTAACCTGTTTCTATTAATCTACATTCTGTCCCATGGCCCGTTACTGCTCCTCCATACTGTACATTGGACTTCTCCATGTCTGGCTGGTGAAAATCCACAGGCCTCAGATTCTTCCCAAGTTCCTTCCTCTCCCTGGAAGTCCCACCTATCCTCTCTTGCCCAGCTATTGGCCATTTAGCTCTTTTTTTTTTTTTTTTGGTTTTTTTGAGACAGGGTTTCTCTGTGTAGCTTTGCGCCTTTCCTGGAACTCACTTGGTAGCCCAGGCTGGCCTCGAACTCACAGAGATCCGCCTGCCTCTGCCTCCCGAGTGCTGGGATTAAAGGGGCCATTTAGCTCTTTATTAAATCAATCAGAAGAGGCCTTAGGCAGAGACACATTTTCACAGTATAGAAAAAGATTGTCCCACAACACTCATATGCACATTTACACACACGTTGAAAACAAATAGACTTTTTTCTTTGAGATAGGCTCCTATCATGTAGCCTCTAGAGAGCATGAACTCATGTAGACCAGCCCTGTCTTCAAATAATAGAGATCCCCTGCCACTGCCTCCCACGTGCTGGGATTATAGGCACGTGCCACCATGCCCTGACTCCTAAACAACTTCTCAAGAAAGAACAGTTGGCAAATTTAGAACAACACGAGTGTGTGTATGTGTGTGTGTGTGTGTGTGTGTGTGTGTGTGTGTGTGAGAGAGAGAGAGAGAGAGAGAGATTCCTTTTTCTTTTGCTCAACTAGTGTAACCACCTCTGCACCAGTGTAACTGGTGTGTAACTATTTTGATGGAAGTGACTTGGAGTCCATTCCTGGGAATATTCTTTTGTTTTTGTTTTCTCCATGACAGGCTTTCTCTGTGTAGCGAGCCCTGGCTGTCCTGGAACTCACTGTGGACCAGGATGGCCTCAAACTCAGGGATCTGCCTGCCTTTGTCTCCCAAGTGCTGGGATTAAAGGTGTCCAACCACCACACTCAGATTATTCCTAGGCCTCCTGTATTAACCTTTGTAAAATATTTTACCTGAAGTCCAATGATTTTATAAAATTTAAAAACAACAACAACAACAACAACAAAAAACTACATGTATGTGGGCCGTGTGTATGTTTGGTGTTAGAAGAGCCCAGAAAGAGGACAATGGATCCACTGGAGCTAAAGTTTGCATTGTGAGCTACCATGTGGGTGTTTGCCCCGGCCAGCGGGGTGTCAACGGGGGTGACCCACCTGTGGGAGAGAATGAGAGGGATGGGGGAGACACGAGAGAAGACAGAAAGACAGTGTGTTCTGATCAAGCTGCAAATTTTATTCTCCTCAGCAGGGCTTATATAGCATGGGAGGGGGAGGGGAGGAGGGAAGGGGTGCACGACGTGCCATACGTGCAGGTGAAGGGGGACGTGCAGGTGAGGGGCTACGTGCAAGTCGTGCAAGTCGTGAGGCTGCTAGGTGGTAAGGTCACTGGTCAGGGCCCATTGTTCTGTTGCTATGCTACCTGACCTGCCTGACCTGTTCTTTATCTTTGGGGGCATCTGGTTTAGGGTAGGGGCTTGTTCTCTGGCTTAGCTAGTACTTTTCCATGGTCCATGTTTGGTCTCTGACAGGTGTTGGGAACTGATCCAGAGTCCTCTGCAAGAGTAGTAAACACTATTAATTCCTGAGCTATCTCTCCAGAAAATATACTGCTTATCCTTGAAACTCTTTCAAAACCACCTCAAACAGATGTCACAGAGACATGGGCAGTAGAGGGTTAAAAAGTGTAGCGCATCCATCAAAGCCAGCTCTGGGCAGTTGTGACTGAGTGAAATTACATTAAGATTCAACTATGTGCGGTGGATTAAGGGAGGGTTAAGTGAGACCTATTAATACCCAAAGTTAACAATTTAGTTTTTTAAGTATATTTACCAAGGTGTGATTATTACCATGATCTAATTCTAGCTCATTCTCATGAACTCCAAGAAACCCCATCTCCGTTTGCAGTCATTTGAGGTCCCACTTCTATCTCTGGATTTGTTTATTCTGGACACCTTACATGAAGGGAATTGTACTGTGTTCTCTCCTTAACTTGATGCTTTTTGTTGTTATTTTCTTTTTGTTTTTCGAGACAGGATTTCTCTAACAGCCTTAGCTGTCCTGGAACTCGCGCTGTAAACCAGGCTGGCCTCGAACTCAGTGATGCCTCCCAGGTGCTGGGATTAAAAGCAAGCGCCACCACCGCCCGGCAACTTGTTCCTTTTACTTAGCTAAACGCTTTCAAGGTTTATGTTACAGAAGGTACCATTATTACGTAGGACAGGGGAAGAATTCCATTGTACTTTACAGAATACTTTCCTAATTCAGGAGATTGCCATTTGGGAGGCTTTCGCATTACGATTACCGTCGGTATGAATATTCACGTACAACTTTTAGTGAAGACGCATTTCATTTCTCTAGCGTAGCCCTGTAAGAAATTATATCTCCGTTTAGCTTTCCCAGAACAGTCAGTCTCTTACAGCAGGAGCCTCACAAAGCTGGAAGAACCGCCTCATTTCCGCTTCCTGGCGCTGACCCCCACCCCCACCCCCATCTGCGCAGGCGCGGGCGTTGACGAGTGGGAGGTGCGCCGCTGACGGGCGGTGTCTGCGACCGTTACGGGCGGGGCTACGCCGGACGTGGGGCGGGAAACCCGGAAGCGGAGGCCGGCGCCTCCTCGGCGGCGGATTCGAGGGTGTGTTTTGTCGGTAGCGGTTTCTGTGGCGCTGCAGGTGGCCCGCCATGCCGTCGGAGGGTCGCTGCTGGGAAACTCTAAGGGCGCTGCGCAATTCCAGCAAAGGCCGCCTGCCCTACCACCGCGAGTGGCTGGTGCACTACGAGGTGAGCGGCGGCCGTCCTCACGCCTTTAACACGCTCCCTCCAGGCGGGTGCGGAGGACCGGACGTGGCGATGGGCCGCATTGCTTTTTTGACTACTGTGCACATAACTTTCTCGAGCCCGTTCTAGTTGATCTACGGCCCCCCCACTTAACGGGAAGCCTCCTGCCCAAAGGCGTCACCATCACCCCAGTCCACTCCCGGGCCTGGGATCTTGTCATCAGCCACGGCCTCTCATTCTCTTCTGCTTTATAGTCCACTTGCTAGAACTACGGCTCTCAGTCTGTGGGTCCAGACCACGTTGGGTAGTCGAACGACCCTTTCACAAGGGTCACCTAAGACCATCGGAAAACAGACTATTTGCATTATGATTCACAACAGTAGCAAAATTACAGTTATGAAGTAGCAACGAAAATAGTTTTATGGTTGGGGATCACCCCAACATGAGGAACTGTATTTAAGGATCGCAGCATTGGAAAGGTTGAGAACCACTGCACAGGAGCTCCAGGCTTCTTGGAGAGCATTTGATTTGACCTAACTCTAGTGTTGCCAATGAAATGACTGGCTGACCTGTGGACGGGGGCGTGGTCCTTATAACTAGTGTTTGCCATGCCCTTCCTTAATGTTTGTTGGTGGCTTTTCTAATCAGTGATACACATTTGCCTGCCCACTGTCCTGGAGGTGTCTGAGTTTATCTATATTACAGGCTTGAACAACCCTACCGTATGTGAGGATACCTTTGTGTGTGTGTGTAGGCTCATGTGCCACAGTTTACATGAAGAGGTCAAAGGATTTTTTCGTAGAAATATAGTCTGCGTCATTATTAAGAATCCACTTATGCTGATGAGATAGCTCCATGGGTAAAGTTAGTTGCTGCATAAGCTTAATGACTGAGTTCAATTCATGTAAACTGTGGCACATGAGCCTACACACACACACACACACACACACACTAATAGTAATAATAGATTTTAAAATACTGTAAATAAAATAACAGCAGCAATAATAAACCACTATTGCTGGTACAGTGGCTTATAATCTCAGCACTTCAGAAGTGGAAGCAGGGGGGTCAGTTCAAGGTCATCCTCAATTTGATACACTGTCTCAAAAGCAAAAAGAAGAAGAAAGAAATCCTACTGTATTTTCATCTCTGGTTGTTAATGCAGTTACTTTATCTTCAGTTTTAACTTACTTGCTTGGGCCCTCAGTTGTTGAGCAGTGTATGGAATGTCTTAGATCAGTAGACATACAAATAGACTTAACCTTCTTCTCCTTAGGATGTTTTGGAAGAATGCACAACTCTTCCAAAACTATCTTCTTACTCTGGATGGGTGGTAGATCACATCCTACCCAACACCTCACCCCACACACAAGAGAACTCTCCTTCCTCTGAATGTTCACCATCCTCTGGATCTACTTCAGGCCTGGACCAACCCTCACTCCTTAAGTCTCCTGTCAGAAGCACTCCAGAATCCTCCTCACCTTCACCAAATGGAACCAAGGTAAAGTTTGAAGACAAAACACCTGTTGGCTGAAAAATCAAAGTGTTTAATATAGTCACATGACAGTGACATTACCCTGAAGAAATGATTGTTTCCTATTGCAGCTGTTTGTAGGAACAGTATTTACCACATCACCCAGTGTTCTTGTGTGTGTGGAGGCCAGAGGTCAACTTGGGATATTTATTCTCGAAGGTCTTCACCTTGTTTTTCAAGACAGAGTTTCTCTGTGTAACAGTCCTACCTGTCCTGGAATTCGCTTTGTAGGCCAAGCTGGCCTTAAACTCACAGAGATGTGACTGCCTCCTTAGCGCTGGGATCAAAGTCCTGTACCACTGTGTTCCACTCATCACCTTGATTTTTGAGACAGTGTTTCTCATTGGCCTGGAGCTCACCAATTAGGATTAACTGGATGTCCAGTAGTCCCAGGAATCCTCCTGTCTCCTCTTCCCCAGTGTTGGAATTATAAGTACATGCCACCATGCAGTTTTAGATGGATTTGGGGACCAAACCTTAGGCCTTCTTGTTTGTACTTTACCCGCTAAGCAATCTCTCCAGCCTAAGGAGACACATCATTTTATTAAGAAAACCAGAGCCAGGCGGCGGCGGCGGTGCACGCCTTTAATCCCAGCACTGGGGAGGCAGAGCCAGGTGGATCTCTGTGAGTTTGAGGCCAGCCTGGTCTACAGAGCGAGATCCAGGACAGGCTCCAAAGCTACACAGAGAAACCCTGTCTGAAAAAAACAAAAAAGTAAAAAAATAAAAAAATAAATAAAATAAAACCAGTGTGACACCAGTTATGGTGGTGTACACCTTTAATTGCAAAACTTGGGAGGCAGAGGCAGGTGGGTTCCTGTGAGTTCAAGGCCAGTGTGGTCTACATAGTAAATTCTAAGCCAGCCAGAGCTACATAGTGAGACTCGGTCTCAAAAAAAGAAGTAAAGTATTGTGCTTCTTGGCCTTTTGGAGAAGATCAAATGTAAATCATTTAGGGTCAGGAATGGGAAAAGAGAGAGGGAGGAACAAAGTTGACATCATGGAAAACACAGTGGTTCTTGTGAAGGGGCCCCAAAGTAGCCTGACCACACAGCAGCCATGACAGACCTAGGGGTCTAGACACAGCTTCTGTCACAGGCTTATTGGCAGGCAACATCCTGATCCAGGAAAAGCCTTAAGCTGATACCACCCAGGGATCGACCCAGGGGTGAGGAAGTACCTGACATCCCAAACATTCCAACCATTAGATAAGGTGGCCAGATGCCCTTGAGTCTAGCACATACCTGTTTTTTGTTTTACAGATACCCCTAGACAATTGTCAGCCAATCAGGGTCCTGGACCTGGGAATCCCCTCACCTCAACCTCTGCTATGATAAAAACTGTGCCCCACCTGAGCTCAGGGCTCTCTGCTCTCACCGCTGTGTCAGACAGACAGAGGGACCAAGCTCTGGAGCTTAAAATAAAGGCTCTTTGCTTTTACATGCGGGATTTGGTCTCTGTGATGGTGGTGGTCTTTTGGGGGTCCCCGCGATCTGGCCATAATAGTTCTAACCTATTTACTGCTGTGGTTGGCGGTGTGAACCTGGGAGAGTGGGGCTTAAAATAAGGCAGACTTAAGTCTCACATAATAGCCAACCTTATTTAGAGCAGCGGACAATTTATACTCTGAGGGTTAAGAAGAGTCACATGAGTAAAGTGTACAATCACAAGGACACGCCACACATGGCAAAAACATGTTTTTCCATAGAGACATAAATAACAATCAGTTGTAATGAATAATCTGAAATAAACATTTCTATCTGCTACACATGGGAGAGGCAGGAAAGCACAGTCCAAGAACAGTTTTGTGTTTTGAAGAAAATGAGGTCACAAGATGCTTGTCTTATTTTGTTGGAATTTTCTCACAAGTGCTCAGAAATCCCCTCGTACAATTTGTACTGTGTTCTGACAGGAAACTAAATTATTTTCATTATTGGTGATTTATAAGTCCATTATTGGTTCCTAAGTTGGATGTGTTAGGCTTTGGAACTCAAGCATTCCTCAAAGGATCCTGTGTTGAACTTTGCCTTCCAGGCAGCAATATTCAAGGTGAGGCTTTTGGGAAGTGCTTGGATCATTGTCTTCAGTAGATTAATACATTGCTGGCTTCATAATCTGATAGGGCACCAGGTTGGAGGGAGTGGGTCCTTGTCAGGTAAATCTAATCCCAGGCCCCTCCTTCCTCTTTCCTTTGCTTCCCGGCCACCTTAAGGTGGCTGCTTTTCTCTACCACATGCTTCTGCTGTCATGTTCTGTCTTAGCACAGTCCAGAAAAAAGCAACAAGTTGTAAAGGCCACCAACCCCCAAATAATGACACAAGACTTATTAGTTATGAATGCTTGGTCTTGTCTTATGCTCGTCCCACTAGCTCTTATAACTTATAGTAACCTATTTCCCTTCATCTACATTTTTCCTCAGGAGCTTTTTACCTTTCATTCTGTATGTCCTACTTTTCCTGCTTTCTCCGTGTCTGTCTGGCCCAGGGGAGTCTCCTTCCCCTCCCCCCCACCTCTCCCCCTTGCCTAGATTCCTTCTCCTATTCATTCTCTCTGCCCGCCAGCCCCTCCTATCCCTCTACTGCCTAGCTATTGGCTGTTCAGCTTTTTATTAGACCAATCATGTGCCTTAGGTAGGCAAAGCAACACATCTTTGCATCATTAAACAAATGCAGCATAAACAAATGTTACACATCTTACATAGTTAAAGTAATTTTCCATCACAACAAGTAACTCAAGTGGCTGTGTATAGAAACTTCTGAATTGGGTTCCAAAATAAATCTTACTTTTGAATAATTTTCTAGGAAAACACCTAGAAAACTACAGTGACAGAAAACTAGCAAAGACATGATCTTTGTCTATAAAAGCAACATAAGTTTACCATGTTGAAAGCTCATTCATTGATTTATTTTCTCTCTCGTCTTCGGTTTAGATCACACAGGAGTGCCAGCGCACAGAACCTGTTGCGCTTCTGTCCTCCCGAGCGATCAAAGTGGAAGGCTGCATCCGAATGTACGAAGTGGCACACAGACTGAGAGGGACAGTAAGTGAGACAATGGAGCAAGGGAGGCTTGACCCTAGAGAGCCACCTTTCACTAGACTCCCCCAGGGGAGGATACTCACTACATGCTAATTAGGAGATGTCACCCACTGAAAGCTCACTCTGGAGGTAGGGTGATGTAAAGGTCAAAAGTGAACACCCTCAAGTGAAATCTGGCTGGTCAATTTTAACTTAGGCTTTCCTATATTCCATTTAATTCTCTAGAATTTGCAGATGGTCCAGATGTGTCAGATATGTTTATATTGTGACAGTTGTATTTTAGCTTTTGAAAGAACAGCACTATTTTAATTAATTTGACTTTGGGACTACTCTAGCTTGTAAAATTAAGTTTTGCCTGAGTCTGTAATTGAAAATACAGTAAATTACGATCTTAAAAAATGGCAAGAGCCTGGGGAGATGGCTCTGTGTAAGAGCACTTCTCTGTAAGCATGAGGACCTGACTTCAAATCCCTAGCACTCATACAGAATGGTTGTATTTGCCTGTAACCCCAGCGTTAGGGGAGAGAGGCATATCCTGAAAGTTGACTGGCCAGCCACTTTTAGCCAAATGGGGAGTTTAAGGTTCAGTGTGACATCCCATGTCAAGACAATTAGAGAGAGTGGTAGAGGCAGACACTTGATAGCTTGCTCTGTAACTGTGTGTATACACACAACGTGATGCACATACTACATTACCACTGCCCCTCCACACACACACACACACACACACACACACACACACAAGTTGGTTAGCATGCACAAAGCCATGGGCTAATCCCTGGAAGCATATGAAAGTGGCCCCATGTCCATATTACCAGCTCTAGGGAGGTGGAGACAGGTAGGATTTAAAGGTCATCCTTAGCTACAGAACAAGTTTGAGACCAGCCAGGGCTACATGAAATCCTGTCTCAAAAAAAAAGAACAGATAAAGGAGAAAAAAAATTTCATCCAAGGATAAATGCTCCACACAGCTCTTGAGAAGCAAGCAGGTGGTTCCATGCGCTGGCGTCTCCCAGGTGCTAAGGACTAAGCGTGGTGGTCAAGGAGCAAATTAGCCAGATGACTACGGCACTCTAAAGGCAGGTACCGATCCTTTTCAGGAGGGCCTGAGGCAGTGGCAGGAGGAGCAGGAGAGGAAGGTGCGAGCCCTCTCAGAGATGGCATCTGAACAACTGAAGAGGTTTGATGAGCTGAAGGAACTGAAGCTGCATAAGGAATTCCAGGACTTACAGGAAGTGATGGAGAAGAGGTGAGTCTTCCTGAGTGGTTGCTGCAAATGTCTGTGTGGTCAGCTTGCTTGCTTTCCCAGAGAAATCCCAAGGTGAAAGTCAGTCCTTAAATATCAAAATAAAATAGGCAAAGAAGTTTCCAGCCTGGAAAAGTGACCAGCCTTGGGAAGAGGCCTAATATGACAGTGAGGGGGAGGGGAAACTGTCTCAGGAGACTTCCCTGACTCTGCCTTATTTATCAGTACCAGAGAAGCCCTGGGCCACCAGGAGAAGCTAAAAGCTGAGCATCGCCACAGAGCCAAGGTCAGTGCTTGGGAGAATCGGCATGATTGTATTGGTGTCTGTCTCTAGCCCTCTGAATGTTCATCACACGGTCAACAGCCATTCTAGAGCCCTTGGTCCATGATCATGCTCCTGCATAGTGCTGTGTAGTAGTTAGTTCTTTATCACTGTGATCAGATACCTGAGAAGACAACGGGAAAGGGGATTGTTTCAGCTACTGGTTTCAGATAGCTCAGAAAGCCTCTGCTCTCTGGGTTATGCCCTTTTCTCCTTCTCTTCTGGGGCTCAGCCTGTGGGGTTGGTACCACCCATATTCAAGTAGGCCCTCCTCCTTTGTTAATCCTCTCTGAAAATGTCCTCAGGAACCTGTAGAGGTATAACTTGCTGCTCTCCTAGGTTCTTTTTCAAGCCAATCAAGTTGAAAATTGCAATTAACCTGTGTATTGGCCTTGGGGAGTTTATTTCCTGCTCTAGCCCGCCTGTGAAAAGATGTAGCTCGCCTAGGATTTGAGCAGTGTGGAAAGGGAGAGGTGCCCCCACTCAGCGACTCGGTGGCCCTTTCAGTAGATTCTCAACCTGAAGCTTCGAGAGGCAGAGCAACAGCGTGTGAAGCAGGCAGAGCAGGAGCAGCTTCGGAAGGAGGAAGGCCAGGTCCGTCTACGCAACCTGTACACCCTGCAAGAGGAGGTCCTTCAGCTTAACCAGCAACTGGATGCCTCCAATCAGCACAAGGATCTGCTGAATGTCGACCTGGCTGCCTTCCAGACCCGGGGCAACCAGCTGTGTAGCCTCATCTCCGGGATCATTCGCACCACCTTGGAGGTGAGGGATTACAGAATGACTGCTTCAGGTTAGAAACAAAGCTGCTTAAAGGCAAAATGTATTTTGATTTACAAATGATGCCTACCGGTTGGCTGTTGGAGGAAATACCAGTCATTGCTTGATCGGTGGGGTAAGAACTGGTGACAGAGCTCTCTGGTAAAGCATTTGTTCACTTTCGTAGGTCCTGGCAACGTAAAATGAAAACCTGGCAAATAAGAGATAGTAATACATTAAAAAAAGATTAAATATATTTTATCTTCATATCTTTGTCTCCATATTTTATATTTAAATGTAAAGCCAGAGACGAAAGAAACATTAAGTACAGTGGGAAAAAGAGGAGTAGTTGACAGTAAGCACAAGAAACACTGAGGTTATACAGGAAAACGTTGGTCTATCTAAGTCCATAGAAGTTAAAGACATTACAGATTAGGAAGAACTTACCATGTACACTGAAATTTAATGTCCTTGATTCAAAGAATGCTCTTGAAATTTATGCCAAAGGATAAACTGCTTTCGTTTTCTGCTTTTCTCATACAAAAAAAAAAAAAAAAAAAGAGCAGAGGACATGACAGGCGGCTTTAAAAACTGAAATGGAACTTGCCACAATGCCCAGCAGGTGGAGGCCTGAGCTTAGGCTGGTGAACCTGAGTTCCTGGCTCACACGAGGTGACAGGAGAGAGCCGACTTGCAGGAGTTGCCTGACTTTCTTTTTCTTGTTGTATAGCTCAACATGGCTGGGAACTTAAGGCATTGCTCCTACATCAGCCCCTTGAGTGCTAGGATTACTGGTATATGCACCATATACTTGATTTTGTCACAAACTTTTTAAAAAAGATTGCTCTGACCATTGTTGAAAGCATCAAAAACTCTATTGTTGGTTGCTATGGATGTGATGATGATACACCTTTTGTTGTTATTGTGTATGTGTTGTGTGTGTACATGTGTGGAAGTCAGAGGACAGTTGTATGGGGTCAGGACTTTTCTACCTTTATGGGGGTTCCAGGTGTTAAATTCAGGTTGTCAGTCACAGTTCCTAAGGAAGTACCTTTACCCACTGAGCTATTCCAGTGGCATTTTTTTATTTTTTGTTTTTTCTTTGAAACAGGGTCTCACTGTGTAGCCCTGGCTGGCCTCAAGAGTTGCAGCAATCTTCCTGCTTCTGCCTCTCAGGTGCTAGGCATGAGCTACCGCTCTCTGATAGTAAATCTTTAAGAGAACAGGAAAAGAGCAGGTATTTGACCATGTGTATGCACTGATCCAGCAGTTCCACTTTAGAAATGTACTGTGTGTGATGTGACTTAGCCCCATGAGGTTATCTAGGAAATGAATGTTAATTATTGTCTCTCCCTCTGACAGAGTGGTTATCCCACAGCAGAGAACCAAGCTGAGGCCGAGCGAACCGTGCAGGAAATGCGGGACCTCCTCTCAAATTTGGAGCAGGAGATCACCAGAGCCTATGAAGTCAAGAAGAAGCAGGATGAAGAGGAGGCCCGGGTCAAGCTGCAAGAATCAGAGGTGCAGCAGGGGCCAGGGGCTCCCACCCAACCCCCTGTGCCCAGCCCAGGCCCAGCAGGGACACAGAATGAAGGTGAGTTTGGTATGGATGCAGTCCTTCAGCTGTCTGAGTTTTAGGATATTGAAAACAAAACAAACATTAGACAGACAGAGAGAGAGAGAGAGAATATATGTCATACTACAGAATGGCCCAGTTTATCAGAACTTTTACATAATGTGTTTTAGTTGATCTGGAACCAATTTCAGATTCTAGCACTTTCCCCAGGGACTTGAAAAGCCTGTCTATGTCTAATGGGTGTGTCATTCCAAATATTGCTACTGCTAAGTATTTCATTTTAAAAGAATTATTAAAGGTTTATTTATTTTTGTTTTGTGTGTATGAATGTTTTACCTTTGTGTGTGTGTGTGTGTGTGTATATATATATATATATATATATATATATATATATACACGTGCCCTACATGTGTACCTGGTGCCCACAGAGGCCAGAAAAGAGCATTGGATCTCCTGGAATTGAAAGTACAGGGACTTGTGAGCCACTATGTGGATAGCTCTAGTCTTCTCCAAGAGGAGCAACTGCTCTTTTTAGAATTTTTTTTTTTAAAGATTCTATTTATTAATTATACAGTATTCTGCCAGCATGTATCCCTGCACACCAGAAGAGGGCACCAGATCTCTTTACAGATGGTTGTGAGCCACCATGTGGGTGCTGGGAATTGAACTCAGAACCTCTGGAAGGGCAGCCAGTGCTCTTACACTGAGCCATCTCTCCAGCTCTAGAATTTTTTTTTTTTAAGGATTTTATTTAATGTGTGTAACTGCTGAACCACAATTTCTCTAACCCCACTGCTAAGTATTTGAAGTAATGTGTACAGATAGCCTTCTGTAATATGTTTGAGGATCACATAGCAGCAATGTGTTTAGCCAGACAATGGAATCTGTTTCTACTTGTATAGCAGTGTGACTTTAGCAAACAACCTTTCCATGTCTGTTGCTTTACTCCTTAAATGGAGGTAGCAGTAGTATCTACTTCATAGTGTGATTGTGATCACTGAAGCATCCAATCCATAGTGCAGTGCTTAGAATAGTCCTAGCTCATATGGCATATTAAGTGAGCTCGCTGCCATTAAGGCCTTTTATTCTCAGACCTGCAGGTGAAGGTACAAGACAGTACGATGCAGTGGTATCAGCAACTTCAGGATGCGTCTGCCAAATGTGTGTTGGCCTTTGAGGGCCTGACCAGCAGTAAGGACAGTCAGGTAAGGGAGAGTTGGGTGGCAAAAATTCGGTGGTGTGCCCCACAGCCTGACATCCTAAAAGAATGTACTTGGCTTGTCATGTTCCCTCGTCTTAAAGGCGTGTGCTCAGCTCTTTAACATATCACCATTCTCTTTTGGCAGGCCAAAAAGATAAAGATGGACTTGCAGAAGGCAGCCACCATCCCAGTGAGCCAGATCTCTACCATTGCAGGTGGGTCAGATGGTTAACAATACTGTCCTTCACTTCATTGGCTTATTTTTGCAAACTGATTGCTCTGAGGTTCTTACACAAAGTGTAAGCTGAGGATGTGCCTTAGTGGCAGAAGGCTTGCCGAGCATGTGCAGAGGCCTGGGTTCCATCCCTACTGCCACCAAAAAGAAAAAGAAAATGTATGTGCAAACTGTGTTGCATCCCCATTTTTTTCTGTTTTCCTCTTCAAACAGAAGATAGCTGGGTCTAGCAGTACAGGCCTGTAATCCCAGCTGGCTCATAAATTCAAGTACAGCATGTATGAAGTGCAATGCAGTGAGACCTTATCTCAAAAGGAGAAAGTCAGAAGACACTCAGGGATACATGTAGTAGAACATTCAACTGCTAGGCCTAACTCAATCCTCAGTAGCATAGGGGGAAAAAAAAAGGAATATTTGTTGACTCTTTTTGGAGGGGTTCAAATGATTTTATTGAGAACCTGGGAGGGTGGGAGAACTGGAGGAGGTTCTAAAGAAATGCTGCGGGGGATAAAGAGATCACATGCCAAAAACCACTGACCAATTTTTAGTCTTTATTTATTTTGGTTTTTTTGAGACAGGCTTTCTTTGTGTAGCCTCAGCTGTCCTGGAAGTAACTCTGTAGACTAGGCTGGCCTCCAACTCACAGATATCTGCTATTTTTATTTTTTAATTGGTATTGGAGGTTGAAGGCCTGATGTCCTGTACTACTGAACTATTGATTCTAACTTGTTTATTTTATTGAGTTAGTGGGCCACTGTGTAGACCAGGCTGTCCTTGAATTCATCTTAGCCTGATGGGTGTTCTTAGTTTCAGACATGTGCCACAACACTTGGCTTCTGTGTATTTTTTTTTTAAAGATTTTATTTATGTATATATGCATGTGACTATATGAGTGTATGTACAAGTGCCTATGGAGGCCAGAAGAGGGCGTTGGATCCCTTAGAATTTGGGAGCAGCCTCATGTGGGTCTAGGGATCTGAACTCTGGTTGGTCCTAATGATTGAGTAGCAGTTGATCTTAACCACTAAACCATCTTTCAGCCCCCGATTCATTTTTAATAAGCTATATATTAATAATAATTATTTAGAATGATTTTTTTACTTATTTGTTTGTGGGGAGGGTGGGGGAGACTTGATTTGGAGATAGGGTCTCACTATGTAGCCCTGGCTGTTCAAGAACTCACCCTGTGGACCAGGCTGGACTCACTCACAGAGATCTGCCTGCTTTTCCCTATCAAGTGCTGGGATTAAAGGCATGTGCCACCATGCGTGGCTTTATTTGTATTTTTGAGGTGGTACTGGTAATTTAACCCAGCACTTTATATAGACATACTAGGCAGACCCAGCATGCTCTGGAATTAGTGCTCAGGAATGTTGAGTGAGCAGAGGAAAGAGAACTTCATTCTTGTCACTAAAAGTGGACAATAACCATGAAGAGTTAGAATTAGAGAAGATTATAAGTGGACATGGGCTGGTCACGTTGGGCATGGGATAGAGAGGGCTGGTTGTGAGATTCAGCCTTTGGGGACCTTGGAAGCTGTTAGTAATAGTAGTAGAATATGACTTTGCAGGAATGCACTGAGGAAACAGCACTTGGGAGGCAGAGACAGGTGGGTCTCTGGGTTTAAAGTCTGCCTGATCTATACAGTGAGTTCCAGGACAGCCAGGTCTACACAGAGCCAATGAAAAGCCAATTCCTTGAAGTGGCTGTTTCTGCAACACTGCCCACTGCCTTTGACCTGATGCTTGAACCAAAGATAGGTAATCTATGAAATGGGGATGGAGACAACAGGAAAGACAGGAAAGGTAACTACAGTTTCTCCTTCCTGAAAGAGAACTAGCTCCGTTCCCGCCACTGGACTCTGTGAAATATTATTGTGAAACATTGCTAGGATAAACATTGTTTTCCCCTGTGCTTAAGTAGATCTGAATTTGTTTTCATTACTCCAGTACCTATAATCAAAGGTTTAATTAACCAGCATCTCCAGTTGAAAAATACTTTATGAAGTTCCTAATCACTTGAGAAGTGATACTAATTACTCAGAAGTATCCTGTAACCAGAGATGCAGGAGGAAACCAAAAATGAATTAAGACAGCACAGAGCTGGGTGGTGGTGGCACACGCCTTTAATCCTACCACTCAGAGGCAGAGGCAGGCAGATCTCTGTGAGTTCAAGGCCAGCTTGGTTTATAGAGTGAGTCTCAGGACAGACAGTGTTATACAACACAGTAAAACCCTGTCTTTAAAAACAAAAATATAATAAAAGACAGCACAAATCTGCAGGATGAATAGTCCCAGAAAAAAAAAAGAATTATTTGGAAGTTATATGTTTCCTGCATTCAGTGCATTCCTGCAAGGTCATATTCTACTACTATTACTAACAACTTCCAAGGTCCCCAAAGGCTGAATCTCACAACCAGCCCTCTCTATCCCATGCCCAACGTGGCTATCATAACCGCCAGCCCATGTCCACTTATAATCTTCTCTAATTCTAACTCTTCATGGTTATTGTCCACCAGACTAACAGCGGTGTGGGACAGACATGCAGATTGCTTCCAGTTTCCAGCAGGAGGGAAAGGGGACAGAAAATAAACTAGTTGGGAGGGAGTTGAGACGCATCTAGGCAGAGAGGTGCCTAATGTGGCCGCTAGAGTCTGAAGCTTGGAGGAAAGGAATGCGCCAGGACAGAGTGAGGCGTCACTGGTATAAAAGTAATGTCTGACACCACGAGGTTACAAAGGAAACACAGAACTGGGGGGACAGCAGGCCCCTAGGAAGCACTACAGTCAAACAAGACAAAGGCAGGAAAGGAAAGGTGGGTAAACCCCGAGAAGCAGCATCTGCAGAAGTCAGGGGAGTTGTTTCCAAGAGAAGCTTGTAGTCCAAAGGCCAAACAGAAAGACTAGCCGCTTAGAAAGTGCACCACCACTGCCCAGGTATGGGTTCTTTCTTCTGCATACATGTTAGGAAATGTGGGTGTCAGCTTTCCATTCCTGTAACAAACTTGTGAGACATTAACTTTATAAAAAGAAAGTTTAGTTTGGCCTACAGTTTTAGAGACTTTGGTTTGTGCTCAGCTCTGTTGCTTTTGGCATATCATGATGGGGAACACTGGGCAAGAACTATGGACCTGGTGAAAAAGAGATGGGACAGAGGTTCTAGAGACGTCTTCAAGGGTCTGTGCCTACTGATCTGAAGACCTCATTCTAAATCCACCTTATAGAAGCCTGTAAATCATGGACCTTTTGTGGACAATTAAAAATCTAAACCACGCCAGGAATTCATTCTGGGTCTTGAAGGATGAAGGAATGCCAGCCCCAGGGAAAGAGGGCCATCAGTCAAAGCAGAGAAGACCCTTAGAAGGTGGTTCTAGACTGACAGCCCTGAGAGCTGTAGTGCTATTTAATACCTTTTCCTACCTCTGCCCTATGTGTCAATTTCAGCTCCAAACAAGGGCCTCCTTCGGAGTTGTACTCATATACTTTGTATCCCGACCATAGAACAACATGAGCCTGACTGTTCTATGTCCTTTTTTGTGTGTGTGCTCTGTGCATGTGTGGAGGCCAAAGACTGACTGGGTATCGTCCTCTATACTTCTCTGCTTCATTTATTTATTTAAATATTTATAGATTGATTTTTTTAAAGTTTATTGTGTGCAGTTTTAAAGTTTATTGTGTCACATGTGTGCAGGTGCCCTTAGAGACAGCCTGATATAGGTACTGGAACTGAACTTGGGTCCTCTGGAAGAGCAGCACATGTTCTTACCACTGAGCCATCTCTTCAGATCTCTATAGATAGATTTATTTATTGTTATATTATGTGTGTGAGTGTTTTAGTGTGTGTATGTCTGTGTACCAAGTGTGTGCCTGGTGCCTTTGGAGACCAAAAGAAAGTATTAGATCCCCTGGAAATAGAATTATGCACAGTTGTGAGCTTCCACGTTGGTTCTGGGATTGAACCTGACTTCTCTGGAAGAGCAGCCAGTCCTCTTAACCACTGAGTCATCTTTCTCTAACCCCTATTTACTTATTTCTTAAAATTTATTTTTATTTATTAGTATGTGTAGGTATATGCTTGTAAGTAAAGTGTCCTCCAGGGCCAGAGGCATTGTATCTTTTTTTTTTTTTCTTTTGATTTTTCGAGACAGGGTTTCTCTGTGTAGCTTTGTGCCTTTTCCTGGCATTGTATCTCTTTAGAGCAGGAGTTATGGATGATTGTGAGCCACCCACTGTGGGTACTGGGAATCAAATTTGGGTCCTCCACAAAAGCAGTATATATTTGTAATTGCTGAGTCCTCTTTTCAGTCCCTCTACATTGTTTGGTGAGACAGTTTCTCACCGAACCTGGAACTTAACATTTGTAGCTAAACTGGCTGGTCAGTGGGTCCCTAAGATCTGCCTGTCTCCACCTCCTAGTGTGGGGTTTACAAGCATATGCTGCCACACTCGGATTTTATGTGGGTGCTAAGGAGTCAAGCTCAGCTCCTTCTTGTGTGGCAAGCACTTCAGCCACTGAGCCACCTCCCCAGCCCTCTGTTATATGCCCATCTTCAATAGTGTGTGGGCTTGGATTCTAAACTTCTGTACAGATGGATTTTGATAGATGCTTTGCTCTGTCACTGCATTGTAAAAAAGATGGTGCTGCACTCAGGAGGCAGATCTCTGTGAGTTCAAGGCCATCCTGGTCTACAAAGTGAGTTCCAGGACAGTTAGGGAGGTTACACAGAAAAACCATGTCTCAAAAAAAAAAACAACAAAAAGAAGATTGACATGAAGTTGTATATTATCGAGACAGGGTCTCATGTAGACTAGGCTGGTCTCAAACTCATTACATGGCCATACTCAACACAAACATGAATTCTGCTATTTGTACCCTTCCTTCCCAAGTGCTGGAGTTAGTGTAAGTGTGCACAACCATGTCCAGCTGCAGTTTTATCTTTTTGTTGCTTTTTCTTTCCTACCCAGGTTCAAAGCTGAAGGAGGTCTTTGAAAAGATCCATAGCCTGCTCTCTGGAAAGCCTGTTCAGTCTGGTGGGCGTTCTGTGTCTGTCACTCTTAACCCACAGGGACTGGACTTTGTCCAGTACAAACTGGCAGAGAAATTTGTGGTGAGAAACCTTGTTGTCGGGTATAGGCAAAAGAAGCTGGTGGAAAGTGTTGAGCCTTGCTATGATAATAATCTGAAATTGTGTCATCTTTGTGTTCCTAGAAACAAGGTGAGGAGGAAGTAGCCTCTCACCATGAGGCAGCATTCCCCATTGCAGTGGTGGCATCTGGTATCTGGGAGCTCCACCCCAAAGTGGGAGACCTCATCCTTGCTCATCTCCACAAGAAGTGCCCCTACTCCGTTCCTTTCTACCCAGCTTTTAAGGAAGGGATGGCTTGGGAAGACTACCAACGGTGAGATTGTTGTCTCCTCTCTCACTCACTCTAGGGAGAGTAGTCGAATATAAGAATCTGAATCTGTTTTCACTCTTTCTCACAGCTCCCTCCCTGTACTTTAAATGTCCTGTAAGAAACACAGTGTCTTGAACCATAATTGGTATTGCACATCTGTAATTCCAGGATTTGGGAGGTTAAGGCAAGTGGGTTTTCAGGTTACCCTGGGATATATAGCAAGAACCCCGTCTCACAAAAAATGGGGGGAAAGTAATGTCTTTCACACAAACTGGATGTCTTTTGGGATTTGTAGATTTGAGGGGGTAATAATTGATAATCCCCATCACTTACTGGAAAGAATGCCGGATCTAGGACCCTGAGTCTTAGAATTTTTTCATCTTACAGCTTTGCAGAATAGGGTAAATCATTTAGATCTCATTGAGAAGCTGCTTTAGTCAGGGTTACTATTGCTGTGATGGAACACCATGACCAAAAAGCGACTCAGGGAGGACACAGTTCTTTATGGAAAGTAGGTAAAGCAGGAACTCAAGCAGGACAGGAACCTGGAGACAGGAGCTGAGGCAGAGCCATGGAGGGGTGCTGCTTACTGCTTGCTCCTTATGACTTGCTCAGTCTTCTTTCTCATAGCACCCAGGACCACTAACCCAGGGGGGGCAGCACCCACAGCAGGCTGGGCCCTTCCTCATCAATCACTCATCAAGCAAATGCCCAACAGACTTCCCTTTCCCTATAGCTGTTTTATCAAGGTATTTTCTCAGTTGAGGTTCCTTCCTCTCAGATGATTCTTGCCTTGTATCAAGTTGACAAAACTAGCCAGCACTTAGGCAGTTTCCTTATTGGGAGTTCACTGGTGAGTTTGCTTTGAAGAGCTAATTTTTTTTTTTAAGATTTATTTATTATGTATACGGTATTTTGTCTGCATTATGTCTACACACCAGAAGAGGGCACCAGATCTCATTACAGATGGTTGTGAGCCACCATGTGGTTGCTGGGAATTGAACTCAGGACCTCTGGAAGAGCAGCCAGTGCTCTTAACCTCTGAGCCATCTCTCCAGCCCGAAGAGCTAAATTTTATATAGAAATTTGATCATGAATACCCATCCTTTGTACAGATATAATAAGAGTATGTAATAATAATGCAAAGTGCAACTAGTAGTACCTTAAGCCATAAAAAGAAACTTCTTTGTCATTCTCATTTTGGCCTTGTCATTCTGAATTTTATCTTCACACATAGGATGCTTGGCTACCAAGTGACGGGCTCGAAGGTGGAGCAACAGGACAACTTTCTGAAACGAATGTCTGGGATGATCCGTCTGTATGCTGCCATCATCCAGCTCCAGTGGCCCTATGGAAACCGGCAAGAGGTAGGGAGAACAGCCTGCTGCTGATAAGGAATGGTAGCCCAGCATCCACAGCAACTGCACCTTGGTGTTAGTCTGCTCTCTGTTACTAAGATAAACAACTTACAAGGAGGAAACCTTGGGTTCGGGGATTTAGCTTAGTGGTAGAGCACTTACCTAGCAAGCACAAGGGTTCGATCCTCAGCTCCGGGGGGGGGGTGTGGGGGGGGGGGGGGGTAACCTCTACTTTGCTTTGTGATAGCCTATGCATGGATTAGGACATTTGTGAGATCCTTCAGTCTCACTCTCCCTTGGTCCAGTTGCCTTTGGAGCCACGGTGAGACAAAGCATCATGGCAGAAGCATGGGCAGAGCAAAGCTGCTTATAGCAGTTGGCTAGTAAAAGATGCAAAAAGCTTTTGAGAGGGTTCTCAGTAAGTGTCCCCTTCAAGGGTATGTCCCCAGTGACCTAGCTTTCCAACTGGGCTCCACTTCTTAAAGGTTCCACACTCCGTAGTACCACAGGTTGGTGATCAAGCCTGTAACTCAGTCTTTGAAGGCTCTTGTAGGCTGTCCTTCAGAGAGGCTATACTGTGGAATGATGGATAAAGAGTATGGTAGCCTCATGGGTATATTTTAGAGAAGTGGATGTTGATTCTTAGGCAACTTTTTTGAATCAATAAGAGAGTTCAGCTGCTCCCTGAGCTGAGGCCATAAAGAACTAATCTTAGAACAGAGTCCACAAGTCATAACATTTATAAAAGTTTGATCAGTTGTGGTATGCTGCCTATAATTTCAACACCAGGAAGCTGTGGCAGAAGGATTGCAAGCTCCAGATCACTCTGGACTGCACAGTGAGACCCTGTCACTACAATACCAAAATGAGACAAAAAGTCAGGCGTCTGTGGCGGGGGAGCATAGTGACACGCCTTTTAATACCAGCTTTTGGAGGCAGGACGGTGAGTTCAATGCCAGCTCGGTCTACTTAGATGCTCCAGGCCACCCAATGCTAGTGAGTCCCTGTCTCAAAACGAAAACACCAAAAAAACAACCCCCCCCCCCCCCAAACCAAATCAACAGCAGCAAAGTCAGGCGAGGTGGTTTACCCCTACACTCCCATCTTGGGAGAGTGGGCCAGGGAGGATTGCCATGAGTTTGAGGTCAGCCTGGGCTACAAAGTTAAGACTCTATCTGAAAAACAAACCACAAATTTCCTAAACATGAAGCTGATGCTGGTATATCAAAGGAACCCTGTAAAGAATTTGTGGGAGCCTGCACATGGATCAAAATATTTCAAAGAATGATTTCCTTAGCTTTTTTTCTTTCTGCTCTCTCGTGTATGCATGGGCCAGATGCTCTTGGGGTTCATGTCTAACGGTTGAGTGATGACATGGAGAGTTTATTCTGTGACTAAAATGAGATGACGTCATGACACAGCTGCTTGCCTTCCAGGCTCATCCTCATGGCTTAAATCATGGCTGGCGCTGGTTGGCACAGATCTTAAACATGGAGCCTCTGTCGGATGTGACAGCCACTCTCCTGTTTGACTTCTTGGAGGTAATTCCACTATCCAATGAGAGAACGGCAGCGGTTGAGGTGGCCTCAGGACATGGGGTAAAATGAATGGGGGGCACCACAGAAGTGGGGCCACGTAGTGGACAGTGTTAGGCTGCTGTTACCCAGCTTCTCCTGAGCCAGGAGACAGGCCTAGCTTCCACTTTTCTCTCACTGTCCTCGACTTCCCTTAGAGTAGGATGGACCATTTTCTGCTCTTTATAATGTCTTGGGTTGAGGGGTGTCCCTGCAGGCTTTATAGCTGACAAGGAAAACAATTCAGTTGTGGGATGAATGAAACTCATTTTGGCCTGGTGCTAGGCCAGGACTTCTTGGAGTCTGACACCAGCTCATATATTTTTGCCATATTTAAGCATAGCACAATTTTGGAAAAAAGTTTTCAGATAACATTAGACTCAGCCCTGTGAGTACAACAAAGCTTAAGACACGTTTACATTGAAGCTCCTTACAAAGTACATATGGCTTCATCCATAAGATGGGTTCTTGTTGACTCAGAAACAGTGCTCAAGATAAGGGTCTAGGGAGAATGACTGAGGTCACCATAAGACCTGTGGGAGTCAGGATTGGTCTGGCCCTGTGATAACACAGAAGTCACCTAGGCTGTTGTAAGGTACAAATGGCATCTCTCACGAGGATGAGTTTTGTTTTTAGTTTTGGTTTTGGTTTTTTGTTTTGTTTTTTCGAGACAAGGTTTCTCTGTGTAGTTTTGGTGCCTGTCTGGAACTTGCTCTGTAGACCAGGCTGGCCTCGAACTCTCAGAGATCTGCCTGGCTCTGCCTCCTGAGTGCTGGGATTAAAGGCCTGCGCCACCACCGCCTGGCAAGGATGAGTTTTATGACCTAGAAGTAATACTCAAGGTTTAGGGGGAAAGGGCCTGGGATAAGTAAAACGTAAATTCTGTAAGATACAGGCTGAGCCTCGCTCATCAGCCAGCAAAGGATCTCCAGGTTGCAGACTACATCCATTCGCAGCATTCCAGGAGGAGGAGAGGTTAAAAATCTTTTTCCTTTGAAGGACGCCTGTGAGTTTAACTTTACTGGCTTCTCCTTTATTAATTTGTGTGCATAAGCACTTTCCACCCTCTACAATAATGTATATCCTAGTGTAAGTAAAAAGCAGACTTCATTTTAGGGAGAGAATTGAGTAATGGAATTATGGTAGACTGTGCAGGTGAGTCTCCTGAGACACTGGAAACAGGAACCAGATCACCAGGCACCAACACACTCTTCCTGGGTGTAGTTTTCCATAAATGTTATTGCTTTGTGAGCCCCCTTTCCTTGCTTCTCTGTGCACTATGAGGACTATCCTGGGCTGTCACCCAGTCTCAGTTTGGTTACCCAGTGTGGAGGGATTAATATCCCACTGTTCTCATGACTACTTTCTGGGGAGAAAATGCAAGCTTATGTCAGATATCTCCCTCCCTGGAACTCAGAGATCCACTTGTCTTGGCCTTCTGAGTGATAGGAGAAAAGCATTCACTACCACACCCAGATGAAGGAGCTGCTTCTGAAATAAGCTTCAGGGAACTGGGAATGGTACTCCCATGGCTGTAATCCCAGCACAAGAGAGGCTCAACAGGAGGATCACAAGTTTGAGACCAGCCTGGGCTACTCAGTGAGACCTTGCCTCGAATGACTGAATGCTGAGAGTTCATGCCCTGACAACACTGAAGCCCTTAGGCCTGTAATTGTAATAGCTCCTAGTTAGGATATAACTCCTGAAGTCATGGTGTATCAACATGAAACCTGAGTCTGAGACAAGCGGGAACTAAGAGGAACGCCATGAACTATTTGTTAAGCCTTGACAGTTGACTTAAGTGGGAGTATATAATAAATTAGAAGAAAGTTGGATTTTTCTTTAATGTTATGAAGGGACTTAGGGTCTTATGCGGGCTAGACAATGCCCACAAGTGAACTACATCCCCCACATAGAAAGTTGGGTCTTCTCCACTTACTCCTTAGTTAGCTAAGTGACAAACCATGGCTGAGATGTTTTCCACCTATTCCTTAGTTAGCTAAGTGATACCATGCCTGAGATGATAGGAGTGATAGGCAAAGGAGTAATTGTGTCTTTCTCATGAGTTGATTTTTGTTCTCTGCTCACAGTTTTGTTTTGTATTTTTTGTTTGTTTGTTTTTGTTTTTTTGTTTGCTTTTTTTCAAAGCAGGATTTCTGTATGTAACAGTCCTGGCTGTCCTGGAACTCACTCTGTAGACCAGGCTGGCCTCGAACTCAGAGATCTGCCTGCTTCTGCCTCCTGAATGCTGGGGTTAAAGGGTGTGCCACCAGCACCCAGCTACTCTCATAGTTTTTACTTTCCCTCTAGGTGTGTGGGAACGCCCTCATGAAGCAGTACCAGGTCCAGTTCTGGAAGATGATACTTCTCATCAAAGAGGACTACTTTCCCAGGTACAGGCTTATTGATCAGCCCACTGGGGAATTAGTAGGTAGCTCTTGAAAGCCAGGTACCATGAATTCCTAAGTGCTAGTGCATTGTGTGAGTGTGTGAGTGTGTGTGTGTGTGTGTGTGTGTGTGTGTGTGTGTGTGTGTGTGTGTCTTGCTGAGTTTTTATTTTCGTTTTCTTTTGTTCTTTTGTTTAGTTTGAGTCTCTGTAGCCTAGTCTGTCCCAGAACTCTTACCAATCCTGTCTCAACCCTTTTTTTTTTTCGAGACAGGATTTCTCTGTGTAGCTTTGCGCCTTTCCTGGGACTCACTTGGTAGCCCAGGCTGGCCTCGAACTCACAGAGATCTGCCTGGCTCTGCCGCCCGAGTGCTGGGATTAAAGGCGTGCGCCACCACCGCCCGGCTTTTTTTTACTTTTATTTATTCTTCTCTCATACAGTATATCTCAACTGCAGCTTCCCCTCCCTCTATTCCTCCTTCCCCTCCTCTTCCAACGCTCCATCCTGCACATCTACTCTCCTACCCCTGCTCCTCCCAGAAAAGAGCAGGCCTCCCAGGGACATCAACTGAACACATCACAAAGTACATTAAGGGGTTGGGGATTTAGCTCAGTGGTAGAGCGTTTGCCTAGCAAGCACAAGGCCCTGGGTTTGATCCTCAGCTCCAAACAACAACAACAACAACAAAAACAAAGTACGTTAAGACCAGGCACAAACCTTCACATCAAGGCAGTTCGAGGCAACCCAGTAAGTAGAAAGGGATCCCAAGAGCAGGCAAAAGAGCCAGAGCTGAGATTACAAAAGAGGTCCCACTGTCAGGAGTCCCCCAAAACCCCATGCCAGTAACCATAACATATATGCAGAGCGCCTATCCTAGACCCATGCAGGCTGCAGGATGGCAAATTCAGTCAGTGTGAGTCTCCTGAGCCCTGCTTAGTTGACTGCACAGACTATGCTCTCCTGATGTCTTCACTGGCTCCCACAATTCCACCTCACCCTCTTCTTTGGGGTTTGCTGAGCTCTGAGGGGGAGAGATCCAATGGAGACCTCCAACCTGGGCTGACTCTCTGCCTGATGTTTGGCTGTGGATCTTGTGCATGTTTCATTTTAAAGTTATATTTGTGTGTTTGGTTGGTTGGTTGGTTTTGGTTTTGGTTTTTCGAGACAGGGTTTCTCTGTGTAGCTTTGTGCCTTTCTTGGAACTCACTCTGTAGACCAGGCTGGCCTCAAACTCACAGAGATGTGCCTGTCTCTGCCTCCCAAGTGCTGGGATTAAAGGCATGCGCCACCACCGCCTGGCATGTTTGTTTTGTTTATTGGTGGGGCTGGAAATGCGGCTTATGCATGCTACAGTGTACACATGGAAGTCAGGACAGCATATGGGAACTGGGTTTTTCCTTTCACCCTGTGGGTTCCTGGGTTCAAACTCAGGTAAGTCAGGCTTGGTGGCAAGATCTTTAACCCCCGCTGAGCCATCTTACCAGCCTAGTGTGTGATACTTTTGACTTAAGTGAAAAATGAGCTAGGGTCAGTGGTTGAGCATGTGCCTAGCATGAGCAAGGGCCTGGGTTTGATCTCATGATGTGGACTGGGATCTGTTTAAAGATAATATTGCTGGGCAATCATGGTACACACCTTTAATCCTAGCACCCAGGAAGCAGAGGCAGGCAGAGTTCAAGGCCACCCTGGTCTTACAGAGCTAGTTCCAGGACAGACAAGACTAAACAAAGAAACCCTGTCTCAAAAATCCAAAAAGGGGGGGGGGGGGGGCTCGCGGGACATCTTTCTCCTCATCCTTCTCTTTGATTTTTTTTTTTTAAGAAATTTATTTTCAACTGTGTGTATGTATACTTGAGAATGTTCACAAACACAAATACACACACAATGTATACATGTGCCTTCAAAGGCCAGATGTGTTGGAGCCCCCAGAACTGAGTTACGGGCACTGTGAGCTGCCCTTCATGGGTGCTGGGAATTGAACTCAGGTCCTCTGCAAAACCAATAGGTACTCACCACTGAGCCATCTCTCCAACTTTTTCTTGTCTTTAATGTTTGAGTAAATGATTTTGAATTTTAATGAAAGCATCTTTTAATTATTGTTTCTTAAAAAAATTGTAAATTGGGCTGGAGAGATGGGACAGTGGTTAAGGGCTGTTCTTCCAAAGGTCCTGAGTTCAATTCCCAGCAACCACATGATGGCTCACAGCCATCTGTAATGAGATCTGGCGCCCTCTTCTGGCCAGCAGGGATACGTGCAGACAGAACACTGTATACATAATAAATAAATTTTTAAAAAAAAATTGTAAATTGTGGAGACGTTGAAATAAGTAAGATATTTGATGTTGGGTATGGGTGATAGGGCACTTATCTAGCACATTCTAGGCTCTGTTCACACCATTATATGCATTCACTCATGCACTACTGAAAAAATACTGCCTTTTTTTTTTTTTTTTTTTTTTTAGGAAGGGTTGGGACAAAATCTCACTCTGTAGGCCAGGATGGCCTGGACCTCAGCAGGCCACCTGCCTGAGTCACAAGTGCTGAGATTATAGGCTTGAGCTACAGTGCCCAGGTGTAGGGGTGTGTGTGTGTGTGTGTGTGTGTGTGTGTGTGTGGAGAGAGAGAGAGAGAGAGAGAGAGAGAGTTGGGTGTACACATATACATGTAAGTCAGAGGTCAACATTGGGTGTTTCTGTTATTCTTCACTATTTTTTGCAACAGTTTCCCTCATGAACCTAGAACTCTGATTTGGCTAGGCTGGCTGGCCACCAAGCCCCAAGCTCTAGGATTATTGGTGCATACCCCCACCTCTGGCTCTTAGGTGTGTTCTGGGGATGGAACCCAGGTCCTCAGGTCCTCATGCTTATACAGCATGCACTTTACCAATGAGCCATCTCTCCAGTACTTTTTTTTTTTTTTTGGTTTTTCGAGACAGGGTTTCTCTATGTAGTTTTGGCACCTGTCCTGGAACTCTGTCTGTAGACCAGGCTGGCCTCGAACTCACAGAGATCTGCCTGCCTCTGCCTCCCAAGTGCTGGGATTGAAGGTGTGTGCCAGCACTGTTCCTTAGAAGAGTCAGTGGATCTAGTCCTCGCCTGACCAAAGCGTGGAGATGTACCACAGGTGGGATTCACATCTCTCTCTCCCTCCCTCCCTCCCTTCCTCTCTCCCTCCCCCAACAGAATTGAAGCCATCACAAGCTCAGGACAGATGGGTTCTTTCATACGTCTGAAGCAGTTCTTGGAGAAATGTCTGCAACGCAGGGAGATTCCTGTTCCCAAAGGCTTTCTGACCTCCTCCTTCTGGCGCTCCTGATGTCCTCCGTCATCAGTCATCACATCGTGTTGCAGGAGGGGCAACAATAAGGCAACGGAGACAGCGGGTTTGGAAGAAATCATGTCAGATTTAGAGCTTCGTCAGGGTGTTTTTATAGATCTCTGTACCATGTGACTAAGATTGTCATAGTTCACAGCCTTTTGCCAGTCTCTTGTCAGAGTTGGTAGTTCCTGTAGGTGTCATGGACAGAGCAACAGAGCTGGCCTTTCTTACTTTCATAAGTTATGGGAGAGGTAAGAAGGAGCAATTGGCTGCATCCTTTGTCTCTAGGATCTTTCAGAAAGCTGGTGATACTTTATCTGTTTCCCTCTGACCTGGAGGAGCCGACCATTTTCACTTTCACCCTCCACCCCATCCCTTTTCATACACATACTTAGAAAGTCAACCTCTTAAGATTCCCTTAAAGTATCATGTGATGTTTGAGGCCAATCTCTTCTGTGCAGCCTGGGTATGAGGTAAAATACTTTATACTTTATGGCTTGTAAACTACTTTTCTATTCAGAGGACATATATGATGGAGGTATGGAGTGAACCTCAGAGTGCATCAAGTTAGCGGGTATGTGGATCAGGACTAGGAACATGCAACTATGGAGTGCTCTCCGTCTTCTTGATCTGGAATTTGGTCCCTGGATAGCTGGGGATGCTGTATGAGATCGGGTACCTTCTTGTTTTTCTCACAGAAATGAAGATGGGCTGAGATATGACTTGCAGTATTAGGTGTGGGCCGAAGATTAGCAGTGAATGCATTGGTCATTAGGAGGAGCTGACTATATCAGATGGAAGTTGGTATTTGTTTTAGGAATAGATTGACTCTCTTTGTGTACTGCAGAGTGCCTTGTGTGGTGGGTGTTTATTGGTTCTCTTGAATGGCCTAAGCATTTCAATTGTTGACTACAGTGCCCCAAAAAGCAATAAAGCTTGAATTTTCAAAAATCCTCTGCTGTTATGTGGTTGCCTCAATATTATCTGTGTCCTGTATGTGAGCGGTGTATGTAAATCCTATGGACATGGATGTCTACAGGTCTAGGTAGGGACTATGTATTTCTTCCTCTTTATCTTCATCTTGGAAAAACTTGTTTTGTATCATTCTTTTTTAAAAAAATGATGTCCCAATAACTGACTTTGATCTAGCAAGAGATGTGGAGGGTTGAGGCTATAGCATTTTCCTAGCCTGCGGGAGATCTTGGGCTCCAGCTGCAGTGCCCCTCCCCAGGAAGAAAAGTTAGAATATTAAGTTCTCTAATGTAACAGAACACTATGTACACTTGAGTCAGGAGACTGGACTCCATTCATTTTTGTTACATTAAAAATGTAATGTAGCCGGGCGGTGGTGGCGCACGCCTTTAATCCCAGCACTCGGGAGGCAGAGCCAGGCGGATTTCTGTGAGTTCGAAGCCAGCCTGGGCTACCAAGTGAGTTCCAGGAAAAGGCGCAAAGCTACACAGAGAAACAAAAAAAAAAAAAAAAAAAAAAATGTAATGTAAAGTTCTAGTCCTTGAATGCTATTATTATAAACTATTTAGGATAAGTAAATGCAGATTAGTAGTTGGTCATCTCTAACAATCAGACTGGTAGTCATGTTAGGTCCGTTTTCAAGGTCAGAGATATACTTTAGATAGGTGCTCTTCAAACACTTCAGAGACCTGCAGAACATGGCATTTAAGATATTTTAATAACATAAGGCTTTTCTTGATAGTGATATACATCTGTTCCTAGCAGCACCAATCTACTTCAGAGAAGATGATGGGCACAGAAGAACCTCCCTATAGTTTACTTTCACTTGTGGCAAAGTTAGTCACTGGGCAAGAAACTGCCCTTGCCTCAACTGCTGACAGTACGCTGTCCAAATTGGATAAGCAGGACACAAAAGAAGGCAACTGCTGACCTTTGCCAAGACAAAGTAGGACAGTCCTTCAAAATTCCTGCTTCACAGGAAAGTTTTAGATATGCTAGGCCTATAGGCCATAGATGGATGCCCCAGCATTACAGAGGAATCTGACTGTCCAGGATGTCTCTATCATTTCTATAGTTTTGGAAGTTGTTTGCTCTGTACTTCCTGTTTACTCCAATAGTTTATCCTTCTCAAGTCTCTGATGGAATTGAAGAATAGTTATACCATTTTCTTTGTTACCAAATTCAGAAAAGAAACTTAGAAAAGAGTTGTAAAGTTTATAAGGTTGAGAGACATAAAAGCTTAAGTTGTTTAAGAAAATATTTTAAGGTCTAAAAAGATTTTTTTTTTTTTTGGTTTTTCGAGACAGGGTTTCTCTGTGTAGTTTTGGTACTACAAAAGATCCAGTTTTGTCCTGGATCTTGCTCTGTAGACCAGATTGGCCTCAAACTCACAGAGATCTGCCTGGCTCGAGATCCTCTCGAGTGCTGGGATTAAAGGCATGTGCCACCACCACTTGGTGTAAAAAGATATTTTTAGGCTGGTGATACAAGTTATGATGGAAAGTGGGTTAGTAATAAAACTTTGGACTCATCAAGATAGGATAGATACTAGAGTAATTTCTCTGAATTTGTCAAATACAAATGAACTGGACTTCGCAAGTATTATTCTTACTTGATTATTGTTTTTATTGTATATAGTTTCACTACGTTAGAGTTAAAACCTTTTTATTTAGACAATACCTAGTAATTGTTCTTATTGTATATCATTTTTCTGTGTTAGAACTAAAGCCTTTCCTTTTTATGTAGACAAACAGGGCAGAGGGGGCATGTTGGTAGAATATTTGATCGCACTGTGACACTCGAGACTGTTAATAAAGTTAACCTTGAATTGGGGGTAGAGTAAGTGACTAGCTGACCAGAATTAGCCAGAGAGATTTTGGAGGACACAGGATATGATAAAGAGGCACAGGAAGGAGTAGGGAGGGGCTTAGAAAGATTTGTGGGCCCTTTTGATCTGGGAAGTGTGGAGAGATGGTCATCTGGTCATCCCTCCAGTTTCCTTTATCAGGTTTTTACCCCAATATCTGACGACTGTTTTTTTATTAATATTAGAACAATTTAGATAAATGCTTCATTATATGGTCTCATGTGTGACACAGCATGCATGTGGAGGTCAGTGGACAACTTTGTGAAGTCAGTTCTCTTTCTACTTTTACATGGGTTAGGGATTGAACTCAAGTTGTGAGGCTTACATGACAAACGCCTTTACTAGCTGATTCATTTCACCAGCCTGAGAAAACTTTTGTTTTGGAATATTTGTTTACACTGTATGAAGATGTGTCACTGTGATTGATTTAGTAAAGAGCTGACTGGGCAATAGCTAGGCAGGAGAGCTAGGCTAGATTTCTGTGAGAGAAGGGCACGAGGAATCTAGGCATGCAGATCACACCAGAGAGATGCCGTGAGTCTGAAGAAGTTGGACATACAGTACAGAGCAGAGGTAACCGAGCATGTGGCAGAATGCAGATTAATAGAAACAAGTTAATCTGAATTACTTTCCTAATTGAAATAAGTCTCTGTGTTGTTATTTAGGGGCTGGCGACCCAAAGATAGTCCAACAAGAAAGCTTGCTACATACTTTTTTTGTTTTTTGAGGCAGAGTTTCTCTGTGTAACAGCCTTGGCTGTCCAGAACTCACCATGTAGACCAGGCTGGCCTCAAACTTACAGAGATCTGCCTGCCTCTGCCTCCCCAGTGCTGGGATTAAATGCATGTGCTACCACACCCGGCGAGAATACCTTTTTTTTTTTTTTTAAGATTTATTTATTATGTATACAGTGTCCTGCCTGTATGTATGTCTTCACACCAGAAGAGGGCACCAGATGTCATTATAGATGGTTGTGCGCCACCATGTGGTTGCTGGGATTTGAACTCAGGACCTCTGGAAGAACAGTTACTGCTCTTAACCTCTGAGCCATCTCTCCAGTCCCAAGAATACCTTTTATAGCAATTTAATATTCTTCCTTTGGATGTCAGGAGCAGTCTTGGCATTTGTCATTCAATGCTAGTTATCCTAATGGAGTCTCAAATGTGAACAAAGAAGACCATTGGAATGCTGGGTTTTTGATACCCACTGATAGTGTTGCCTCAGCAACCATGACTGCCAGCTGATGCATGTAGCTCCATACAGGCACATCAGATTCTTTGCCACAGAATGCTACAAGCTACATTCCCTTTTCAGCTCAAATTCTCACTCATCTGCCTGCTTTCATTGCAGCTTGACCTCATTTCTGGAGCTGAGTGCCCAAATTTTTATCATGTCATTCGATGTCCTATATCTTAGTGCAAATTTGATGATGCTGAAAATTCCAGTAGGCTGCAACCCTGCACATCCATCATACAGAAGAATGGGATGGCTCTGGGGGCTTCCCATTGGCTTGGGGAAAACACACACACACACACACACACACACACACACACACACACACACATCAGGAATTCTGTGATGACTGCAACAACAATCAGGTTCAGACATCCCTAGGTGCCAGGACAACATAAGCCACAGAGCTGCTCACATGTCCTTCTCACACCTGACTAATTCTCCCTTTTCTCTACCATACTTAGTGAAGTCGCTGGATTTCCTGTGGATCTACAAAAAGCAGACAAGAGCTGTGGGCTTCCAGCAATGTGATGCCCTTGCAAAGCCAGCCATTGTAAAGGGGCTTACTGACAGTCCCTAGTGAGAGCCGGGCTTCATCTATTAGATAATACCCATTTCGGGGCTGGAGAGATGGCTCCGTAGTTAAGAGCACTTGCTGCTCTTGCAGAGAACCCAGGTTTGGTTCCCAACACCCTAGAGGAGGGTCACAACAGTCTGTAACTCCAGCGTCAGAGGATCCAATGTCCCTTTCTGGCCTCCAAGGGCACTAGGCATGCACATACTGCAGGCAAAACACTCATACACATAAAATATTTTTATTTTTTAAAGCAAGAGTTTGGAAAAGCAAGTATACATTTGGACTGCTCTAAGGCAGATGATTGTTGATTGTAGTGCTGGGGATTGAGCCTGAGCTTCACCTATTTGGGGACACAGTCTACTAATGGACAAAACTCCAGCTAGTATTTTGCTTTTGAAGTAGGTAAACAGGTGGATGGAGAAAAGCAGTAAGAAATATTGCCATGGGACAGCAAACTGATGCATGCTTCAAGGCTCTGGAATGACTACTTAAATCGTCATTAGGCTAGTCTTTAGACAATGGAAAGCTCACATTGTCTTTTGAGGATTGATGTGGTTTTTAAAACTGATTGTTAAAAAATGTGTTTAAGATTAGCAGGAGATCTGGGCATGATGGCACCTCCTCTGCAATCACACTCAGGAAGCTGAAGCCGGAGATTGTCATGAGCTCTAGGACTGATGAGGCCACAGCATGAGACCCTATCTCAAACAACAAAAACACAGCACATGCCACTAACCCCAGTACTCCAGGATGGCTCAGCAGGTAGAGGTACATGCTACCAAGGTGGATGCCCTGATTTGATCCCAGGGTCCACATGGCAGAAGAAGCAACTCCATCAAAGTGTCCTCTGACTTCCATACATGTCCTAGAGAACACATGAATAAATGTGATAAAAAAAAAAACTGAAGTATGTAGCTCAGCTGGTAGAATATGTTCACAAGTGCCTAGCCCAGACTGCCAGAACTTTCTCATCCTAGGTGGAAACTGGTCCCATGAAGCAATGGTCTTTCCCCCCAATTCTGTTTCCCCTCAGTCCCTGGCCACCAGTATTCTACGTTCTCTCTCAGATCTGACAGTTGCGGGGTTGTGAGGTAAGCAGAATCATATAATATTGGTGAAATAGCACAATGCCCTCAAGCCAGACACAGAAGGATCAATATTATATGATAGCACAATGCCCTCAAGTTTCACTCAGTCACTGTGTTTGGCAGACTTGTGCGACTGGCCTGCCAGCTCTACTGCAGCATGTCATTACATCCATTTTGTCAGCATGACTCTTCCAATCAGCTTCTTTACAGGGAGAA